GAAACTTAATCTAGACATGATAGAGATGCTTCTAGTTGTCCAAAAGCAGGAGAGAGAATAGGAAATCAACCCATGCTTGATGAAATCTCAAGTTCGTAGCTTTGGTGTACTACTCTGAGCCTGGATGTGCAGTGTCTTAAGAGTGTATTTGCACAATTAAATGAGTGCCAGCTATGTACATTCCCATAAATGCCGCATTTAGTCATGGTAACATACATCCATTTGTTTTACTGTGATGTACTAATATGTATCTGCCTGGAAACTGTTCAGAAACTTCAGGTGGTTCAAATTTTTATGTCGAGATTGCTAATAGGTACTGGTTATAGGAATTACATATTTTGTTGAATCAGCTTTACTGGCTACTAGTGGCTATGGCTTACAAAACCATAGCTTGGGTCCAGACTATCTGAAATACTATATCTCCCTATATGAACCTTCCCAAGTCCTAAGAAAATCATGTGATTTTCTGTGATCATGTGATGAGGCCACCATAAATTGAAAATCAGTGTGAAGGGCACATGCATATGTAAGGCTTAATTTCTAGGTGGAAGTTTTTTTCTTAATTTCACAACCATCACAGGTACAAGTAGGGAGGACTGTCTTAGCAGCTTCTTCCATGATGAAATTTTTGATCTTTTTTGCTGACAGGCAAAGACCTTTTTTAAAAAAACAAAACAAAAATAAGCCTTTATTTTTTATTGGGTGTGGCAGAATGACCTTTTAATGGAGTGTATTATACTTTTTTCTATTCTATTTTCAATATATATTAAACTATTTTAAATATTTTAATAACCTTGTTTCCTTTTAAACACACTTTTTTAAGCATGACCATTGGACTAGCACTCTGGAATCCAGGGTTCAGCCATGGAAACCCAAAGGGCACATCATACTCTCCCAGCTTTTGAGAAAGGCAAAAGCAATCCCTTCTGATCAACTCCTACCAAGAAAGCCTATGATACCCTCACTTAGAAGTCATCAAATGTGAGAAATGAGTTGAAGACATGCAGCAATAACATACATACATACATATATACAGAAATACTTTTATCTGTACTTTGTTCTAACTTGTACTGTAAGCCATCTTGTCTCACATATTAGAAAAATGGTGGGATGTTAGTTCCCCAGAGTCAGGTTGTGTTGCAAAGTGCAACCAAAACTAGAGCTGCAATGTAGGCAATACCACATGAAAAGTTAGAAAGGGAATGAAGAAGGACAAAATGCATGGGAATTATGGTTATGTATAATTGTTTTATAAGAATAATAAAAACATTAAAAAAACAAACACCCTAAAAAAAAGAGTTAGAAACAGTGTCCTAAAGGTATGGCCAGTTGTTAATACATGGTTAATTATTTAGACAAAAAAAAGCAGGGAGACAAGGAGGAATGGGGATGTTGGAATTCTCAGTGGGTTTAGGTCAGGATATTTTAAAATCTGCATTGAAATACTCTACCTTTTAGCTATGTTGTAGATATTGGAATTCTTATTACGGTCAACCAGTTGTGATTCTCAATAGGGTCGGAAAAAATTCTGCAAGTCATTCAGTGCAAGTTTCTGATTTATATTAGTTAATCTGGATCAGACATTCATGTTTTCAGTATTTGATCAATCAGGTACCAATCAGCAAGAAAACAAAAACATAAAAATAATTATATATGCAAAATTCCTAGTATTGTTTTGGTGGTCATCGGAAATTTAAATGACATTTTTTAAACACCAGAATACTGTGGTGAACTATGTTAGCATCTGAATATGCTGATTAGTATTGGTGGTCAACTCCAAGAAAGCCATAATCCCAGTGTTTCAGCATGTATATATTTTGGGTTAAGCAGGAAGGCAGAGTAGGTCACATTGGAGATATTGCTCCTTTTTAAAATTACCTGTGGTTGGCCCTGGCAAAAAAGAAAGGTACCCTAGAAGCATGGGATGAAGAGTAAAGCCTCATGCAGAAGCATTCTTGTTTTAGCCATTATTAAACATTTTATACCACAGCATTTGCATTAACTATATAATTCCTGTATTTAATTTCTAAGTTATACATAGAATTTATTTAATTGCACGGAATGTGAATTTTAAAAGCAGTATGGTCTAGCTCTTAATGACATTGTAACTAGATTTTTTCTAGATAAGCAGTTGTGTGGGTTGGGGAGAATGATTGCCTACATCATTAAAGTCACACGGGCAATTTTATGTTATATCTTCTCTTCTTAATTTTGTCACCATAGGACCAATTATATATTATGTATAGGATTTTCATTTGCCATATAGTAGCTGGAATTCTGTTGGTTAGTTCTAACTAGAGTGGACTAATTTAATCAGATATTAAATGATGAACAAGTTGATTCAATGTAGCTACTCTAGTCAGGATTAACAATGGTATTTAGGCTAGGGTTGTTTATGTCTGACTGCATACTTAAATATTTGGACATTTGGAATTGCTTTGAGCTGTAACAGTGTTACATGTTCATACTATATGTCTTATTCTTGTGAAAATAATATTTCTCAACATTTAATTATATCCACAGTTCTTCATAATCAGTTTAAAATGTAGATACCAGTTTGTTGATAAAATAATTGTATATTATATTCACAGGAATGAAACAACTCCCACCAGCATCCAGAATATCTCATATAAGGGAGGGAGTTTGTAATTAGGGATTGAACTGTTGTATCTGCAATAGTTAATTTCATTAGACTGTATAAATCACCTCAAAAGGGGATTCAGTAATGTTCTCTCTTGATGGTTCAATCAATAATAGCTCATGAAGGAACTTGTCCTTGGAAGGCCTTTGTTTTGTGTCATGAGCACAGTGGATGCTGGTGTCTTGCTAAACAGTGGGCATGAGTGTATGCTCAGTGTGCAGTTTTTCGGACAGTCACCAACTATAACTTATTTTGATGAAAGGCTGAAGGAATTACAGACACCTCTCTTAGTACAGGATGGAATGTGAGTTATATAGAACACGTCTGTTCTAATTTTTCACATAGTCCAGGTAAGATTGCTAAAGTTATGTTCCAATCCCTGGGGGCAGTAATGAACTGTTTGTGAGTAAATAAACTGAGACTCAATCCAGATAACATGGAAAGGGGGTGGAGGCAAACTCTGAGTCTACAGGTGAGGCTTGTCCAAGGTGGGAAGCAGTCAGTGTCTTGGTATCTTTCAGATTGTACTCTTAACAATGCTGTGTCAATGGAGCTGCATTTATTTTTATTTATTTATTTATTTGGAGTGCTTCTACCCCGCCTTTCTCAACCCCCTAGGGGGGACTCAGGGCGGCTTACAAAAGGCACAATTCGATGCCCAACAGTTCACAAAATACAATATACAAAATACAATATAACGACAACAGTTATAACTAGTTAAAACAATCAAATTAATACAATAGCAGCAATAAAATCATCTTGTCTTTTATCCATCTGCCATCTTACCCAAAGGCCTGGTCCCATATGCAGGTTTTTAACTTCCTTCTGAAAGAGAGGAGGGATGTTGATGACTTAATATCCCCGGGGAGTGCATTCCACAGGCGAGGGGCCACCACCGAGAAGGCCCTGTCCCTCGCCCCCACCAGCCTCACTTGTGATATTGTAGTTTGAAGCCATTGTTCCAATGCGTCCTAGTCTCCAGGGAAGCAGAAAACAAGCTTGCTCCCTCCTCCCTGTGGCTTCCTCTCACATATTTATACATGGCTATCATATCTCCTCTCAGCCTTCTCTTCTTCAGGCTAAACATGCCCAGCTCCTTAAGCCGCTCCTCATAGGGCTTGTTCTCCAGACCCTTGATCATTTTATTCGCCCTCCTCTGGACACATTCCAGCTTGTCAATATCTCTCTTGAATTGTGGTGCCCAGAATTGGACACAATATTCCAGGTGTGGTCTAACCAAAACAGAATAGAGGGGTAGCATGACTTCCCTGGATCTAGGCGCTATGCTCCTATTGATGTAGCCCAAAATCCCTATGGCTTTTTTTGCCGCCACATCACATTGTTGGCTCGTGTTTAACTTGTTGTCCACAAGGACTCCAAGATCTTTTTCACACATACTGCTCTCGAGCCAGGCGCCCCCCATTCTGTGTCTTTGCATTTTGTTTTTCCTGCCAAAGTGGAGTATCTTGCATTTGTCCCTGTTGAACTTCATTTTGTTAGTTTTGGCCCATCTCTAATCTGTCAAGATCGTTTTGAATCCTGCTCCTGTCCTCTGGAGTATTGGCTATCCCTCCCAATTTGGTGTCGTCTGCAAACTTGCTGATCATGCCTTCTAACCCTTCATCTAAGTCATTAATAAAGATGTATAGGGGCAGTGTGGAAAGGGCCTTAGATACCTGACTGAGCATTTGAGAAAGAGCAGGAGACTTTTTAGCTCACAGTTTTCCCTTGGATTTGATTTTTTTTTTTGCAGTCTGATTTTGTGTCTTTGGTTTGTTTTTTAAAAAGCTGGCTTTTTAAAAAGTGGTTTCATTTTCTGAATGTTGATTTATGAGTTTTAGCTATTTAGGGTGTCACATGATGACAGGATGGGATGTGACTCTAATAAATAAAATATTCATGTCTGAGGTATGAAAATCATATTGGGGGTCAAAAGCATTGTAATGATTTTCCCATTCACTGTTCATTATAAATGCAGATAAAAGTATTTTTACATTGGGCATCATTAATTTGTACCAGAGAAATACATTTTAGGTGAATTTCATGGATTTGAGCTGGGATGGATAACTTGTAACCAGGTTTCTGCTCCTGAAATTGTCAGGGGACTTCATGGACTCCCAATATTTCCAGAAAATTAACTCCACCCTTGAAATGGCAGACACTTCACTTCTGATTTTGAAACATGGGTATTTTTTGTTGTTGAACTATGCAGGACCTATTTAAAAGGTGAATTACAGCTCCTTGAGGTTGAACCTTTCTGACCTCTGCTGTAAGTAAAATGTTCTGCCATTGTAAATTGCTCTGTTCTGATTTTTATGCATTCATGCTTTTAAAACTGGCTTATCTGGTTGACTTTCAGATCTCTCAGGGAGGAACATAATTTAAATGTGTAATGTTGCTGCTAAGAAGATTTTGTAAAGTTTAACAGACTCCTTACATCATTTTTTGTAAGGGTAAGTTGAAAATTTTCTGTAAGATGTGGTCCATAACATCTGGAGAACACCATGTTTCTTACCCTTGGTCTAAGTTTGAAACAATTTCAAATCAGGTTAGATTTAAAAATCTGGCTTCCCCAAAATGTCGATCATTATTTATATTAGTGCAGATACAATAACTGGTCATGGTTAGAAGGAATTCACAGAAGAGGTGAGGATTCGTGGGAAGGAAGTGTTGCTGTTGTGTCCCTTCAGCTATCTTGTAATCATTTTTTTGTTTGTATGTACTATCACAGCTTTCCTGACGTATGACAACACTGTCATGGAATCTTCTTCGCACAGTTCGCTCAGAGGGGATTGCCATTGCATACCACTGAGGCTGAGAGAGTGTGTCTTGGCCAAAGCTACTGAATGACTTTCAAGGGCGAAGCAGTGATTTTGAACCCTGGTCTCCCAGGGGCCTAGTCAAACACTCAAAGAATTGGGTTGTTGTAGGTTTTCTCCTGACGTTTTGTCTGCATCTATGGCAGGCATCATCAGAGGTTGTGACATACTCACAACCTCTGACGATGCCTGCCATAGATGCAGACGAAACATCAAGAGAGAATGCTTTTAGAACATGGCCATACAGCCCGAAAAACCTACAACAACCCAGTGATTCCGGCCATGAAAGCCTTCGACAACTCAAAGAATCATACCATATTGGCTCTCTGTCCTTTTACTATAGCTTATAGACTGCATTACATTTCTTTGTCTTGTCAGCTCATTACTACCTTGCCTCAAGTAATATTCAGGGAGATGTATCGTCAGCAGACATATTACCAGATGGCAGTGAAACAGAGGAAGTGTGAAGTTCAGGTGGTTCAGGTCTTCAGAAATTTGAAGGAGAGACCAGATTGGTTTTGAATTAGGAGGTTTAAGGAGCAGGTTACACAAAATAAGGGATGGAGATAGGCTGGAGCCAGGAACGTGGGTTGTGTGACTTTGTAAATATTCTTGAACTGCAATTTTCAGTATTTCTCGCCATTGGTCTTGGTTGTTAGGTCTGGAGAGAATCACACGAGTCTTACCTCTGCTTCAAATGAACAAAAAAAGCTTATATGTAGCCATAGAATGCCATCTACTTTCCCAGTAGCAAACCTCCTGAATTTTATTAAAAACTACCTTATAATTTCTTCCAACTTGCAAAAAGCAGTTTGTGGTATGAAATGTATGTATGTATGTATGTATGTATTTATTTATCATATTTATATACCGCTTTTCTCAGCCCAAAGGCGATTAAAATCGATTTACAATTGGCATAATTCAGTGCTCCCAACAACATAAAATATAATTAAAAACATTAACTTATAATATAAACCAGTGATTCCCAAAGTGGGCATTACCGCCCCCTGGTGGGTGCTGCAGCGATCCCGGGGGGGGGGGGGGCGTAATGACCAATGCATTTGGGGGCGATGAATAACTAAGGGGGCGCTGAAAGCATAAAAGAAAGAAGAGAAGACTTAGAAAAATTGATTTCCAGGGGTAGGCCAAATAAGTTTGGGAACCACTGATATAAACCATATAAAAACAATAGGAACAATAAGAACCATAAAACACAAGTCCTCAGCATCTCATTGCTAAGATCATTTTCCAGCCGCATCGTCCAATTGTTCTGTGGATCTAAATGAGCCTGTTACACTGCATTTGAAATTGAGGGAAATATCAAATTGGATTAGTCAGCAGTGCCCTTGTTGGTGGTGGCAATGCAGAGTGTGAAAAAGAGCCAGTAAGGACTCTTGTAACATTAACTTGTAGTGGCATGGTCAGTGTGGAGTGCTGATAGAAGGCTCAGAAGTAGAACTGGAGCCAAACAATGAACAGCAACTCCTTCAGCCATGTCCTCAAGGAACAACTAGAGAAGGAACAACTACTCAGCCGGTTGACTAAATGCAAGAGACTTCTGCTGAGTGGGCTGAGGAGGAATTAACTGTTCCTGTGTTTATAGAGTTAAGGAAAGAAAGGTCTCAGTTGTGAAGATCACTGGGGTTAGCTGAAAAGAGAGCCAGCAATAGGTAATACCTGTGAAAGTAGAATTTAAGAGGCTGGAGTTTGTTACCTGATTTTTGGCTGCAACGTCAGTGGTTGAGCCAAGATCCTGGACTCCTGATCTCTAGTGCTCCCTGGAGCCTACATCTGGATACCAGCTTTGGAACTCTGGACTCAATCTTGCATCTTGGATATTGTTGGTAATTGGTCCTTTATCCTGGAAGGACATTTGGATTTCCCTCTTGTGTATTCCTCTGTTTGATTTATTTGTGGACTATTCAGCTGGACCAGAGATTGTACATACTCTGCCTGTATCTAGGGATTGTGTCCTTGACATGTAGGATCATAGAAAAGGGCATGTTTAGAATCTTAAGGAGAAGGAAAGCATATATGCATGTTGCTAGTATTGAGAAGGTAAGGGTCAGGATGACCCTGGAAATCATTTGCTGTGTCTTATTCCCAATTCATCTTAAATTAAACATCCAGGAATAATGCAAATATGTTGTTCATACTGATTTGAGGGTATTGTAAGCATCATAATACAGGCAAATAAGAGCAAACAAAGAGATAAAATATTGAGTCAGGGATGAAAGCATGCCATTCTCCAGATATTGATACATTGTATATCCTGGAACTACTTTATTATTGGCTAAACTACCAGAACTGCTGGAACTTGTAGTCCTGTGACATCCGACAAGCCATATGATTCTTACCTAAACTAATCTCATAGCATTGCATGGTGTTTGTGTGAGGCTACCCTGAGTCCCCCTTTGGGGGGAGAAGGGCGGGGTAGAAATGCATGAAATAAATAAATAGCCCCTATAAAAAGGGAGGAAATTGCAGTTTCTACTGTAATAGCCTTCTGGATAGCCTACATGAGATATCAGTCAACTCAACTAGAATACTTTTCCCCACAGAATTCTTTCCTGTGAGAGATTTGGAGTAGTCCTTGAAACACTGACTCTTTCCTTTTTACTTTTGTTACACTAGCAGATGAATGTCTGAATGTGGACATGATTCCATAGTTATTTGAGTGTAGAAACCTGTCTGATCTAGGAAGTGCAACTTTCAAGAAATGTGTAGAGTTTAGGTAGCTGGGAACACCTCTTATTCCAGGCATCATTTTTTTCTTTGTTTCAATGAAGAAGTTGAGGAATGTAGGGGGCTATCACAAATCCTGCTTCTCAATGTTTTTAATAAGGAATTCTACTTTGGGAGTTTATGTCTGAACTTTTTTTTAAAGACTCACTTGATAGAGAAGAAAGCCAGGAAAAACTATATGGATTACCAGAAATGCTGGATACAGAATCTGAAGTGATCAGACACTTTCTATTAAACACTAGATACAGTGGTGTGGGTGAAGTGAAAAAATCAAAAGAAACAGATTGACTTCCTGTTTATTCCAGAACATAAACTGCCAAATGCATATGATATAAAAGCAGTAATGGCAGCTTAGGCTTGGATTTTACCCACCTCTGACTTAGTGTCAGGGTAGATTATGTATGATAATTCTTAACTGACATTGGCTCATACTATATTAGCAATTTTAGGATGCCCTATTTGTTTTTAGAAGCTACATCTGGGGCACTCTATAAGCTTCCATATAGGAGGCAAGAAGATAATTCAGTGTCATGTAAACATTGGGTCAAGGTAACAATGCTATCAGCATTCTGAGCAGATTCACCAGCATAATTCAAATTGTGTGTCACACAGGAGAGCAGGAAAGAGCAAGTTATGCCTTTCTAAAGTCCTAGGAATATGTTTTAGTAAAAACACTTCATGCTATGTAGGAAGACAAACAACTCTCTACGGTCACTAAGCCATCTGTCATGCAGGAAACTACATCTGTCCTTCCTGACTACAAATATGGCAATTAGTCTCTGAACCATGAAAACACATCCCATCAACCAAGTTTTGCCAGGGACAAAAAACAGGTCTCACATGCAAATTCTAGCGAAGGATTAGTTGGTATCCTATTGTTTCTTTCAGAAGAGAATACTAAACTAAAATTAACTGTAACATGTTAATATATTATCCAAGGTGATTTATAATATAAAGGACAGTGTTCACTGTTGACTATTGGATAATAAATGCATGACTTCAGCAGCACTGAGAAACTACCTTTAATTTTACTAAAAAAAATCTAAGCTGCATACAGCATGAACATATTCATACACAGCATAGCACTCAGATACTCTGTTTTTATCAGAAGCAGGGTAGTAGGGTGCACACCTTGTTTATAAGGCTTTTGACATTTAAATCTTCTTTATATTTCAGAATTGCGCAACACAGCATAAAAATAGGTATAAAATAATAATAATACTTTAGCTATACCCCTGCCACCATCTTCCTGAAGGGACTCGGGGCGGCTAACATGAAGCCAAGCCCAAATAATTACAATAAAGCGAAGTAAAGTACATACAAAACAGATGATAACATCAAATAAAATAGTATTATAAAATTAGTAAAAAGGAAAGGTTATGTGCTCACTTTCTCCAAAGGTCTTTTCAGATAGCCAGGGGTTCATGATTGGTTCTTCAGTTAATAATTTCAATAAACAGTGGGGAAATTACGTCTCAACAGTATCAGTAAGTAGTGGTGAGTGGGTCTCTTCTGTTATAGGTTCAGTATATGTTTTGCATGTATTTTATCTTACTCTGTAGGGATGACATGGGAAGGTGAATTCATCTTCCCTGAATAGTGTTGGCTGCTATTATTTGTAAAATAGGATTTTGGAAAATGGCATTCATAACCATTTGGAGATCATAACCTTTTGGAAAAGCATGACTTTCCAGAGGAGAGCCAAAAACCTGTTTGAGTAGACTCTTCTCAAGTGGTGTGCAACCAGATACAATATTCAAGGCAATTAACTTCAGTTGTTAGACTAAACCTATTGTCTCTGATCTGTTAGGAGAACAGAGAATATGCCAAGGCATAAAATAGCAGTGCTTCAGATGTGTTCTGCATACAAGTTAAAAAAGGTTGGGTGAGAGTATGCAGCCTTGCCGTACGCCTTTCCCAATCTTGAACCAGTCTGTTGTTCCTTGGTCAGTTCTTACTGTTGCTACTTGGTCCTTGTACAGATTCCTCAGGAGAGAGACAAGGTGGCTTGGTATGCCCATCCCACCAAGAACTTGCCACAATTTATTATGATCCACACAGTCAAAGGCTTTAGAGTAGTCAATGAAGCAGAAATAGATGTTTTTCTGAAACTCCCAGCGGATATTGGCAATCTGGTCTCTATTCCTCTGCCTTTTCTAAACCCAGCTTGAACATCTGGCAACTCTTGCTCCATGTATTGCTGGAGTCTTCCTTGCAGGATCTTGAGCATTACCTTACTGGCATGAGATATAAGGGCCACTGTACGGAAGTTTGAGCAGTCTTTCGCATTTCCCTTTTTTGGTATGGGGATATAAGTTGATTTTTTCCAGTCTGATGGCCATTCTTGTGTTTTCCATATTTGCTGGCATATGGCATGCATCACCTTGACAGCGTCATCTTTTAAGATTTTAAACAGTTCAGCTGGGATCCCATCGTCTCCTGCTGCCTTGTTGTTAGCAATGCTTCTTAAGGCCCATTCAACCTCACTCCTCAGGATGTCTGGTTCTAATTCATTCACCACACCGTCAAAACTATCCTCGATATTATTATCCTTCCTATACAGATCTTCTGTATAGTCTCGCCACCTTCTCTTGATCTCTTCAGCTTCTGTTAGGTCCCTGCCATCTTTGTTTCTTATCATACCAATTTTTGCCTGAAATTTACCTCCAATGTTTCTAATTTTCTGGAAGAGGTCTCGTGTCCTTCCTATTCTGTTGTCTTCTTCCACTTCCATGCATTATTTAAAAATAGTTCCTTATCTCTTGTGGCTAACCTCTGGAATTGCGCATTTAACTGGGCATATCTCCCCTTATCCCTGTTTCCTTTTGCTTTCCTCCTTTCTTGGGCTACTTCCAGTGTCTCAGCAGACAACCATTTTGCCTTCTTGGTTTTCTTTTTCTTTGGGACATACTTTGTTGCCGCCTCCTGAACAATGTCGCGGACTTCTGTCCATAGTTCTTCTGGGACTCTGTTTACTAAATCTAGTCCTTCAAATCTGTTCTTCACTTCCAAAAATGAAGTAGACTTGGTAAAATAACGTATTTTGTTTACTCATAACTTTCGTGTGTTCAGCATAACACAGATACATAGCTTATCAGTCCAGTTTCAGATATGTTTGAAATAATCTCTTTGTGCAGATGGCACAGGACATCTTTCTTACAACAACAGTAGGCAGGGCCAGGGAGTTTAAAAGTTCAACCCTGCCCTGAAATGTGTCGGGTTAAAAAAGAAACATGGTTTACTCATAAATTGGTTAACCAGTTAAAATTCATGAGTAAACCAGGTTTTTTTGGGGGGGGGGGGTTAGCCCCCCCCCCCCCCAGCTACAGCTCTGTAGATGTGTTTGTCTGAACAGTCGCAAAGTCTAAGAAGACTAACATGGAGTCTGAGGTCTGAGCAGTGTCAGATCAGATCATGTGGCCTGCAGCCCCTCCCACAACTTCTCAGGAAACTTAGAGCAAGGGAAGCTGCATACTAGAACATACATACAATAAGTAAGCAACAAGATTTTATTTATTTATTTATTCACAATATTTCTATCCTTCCTTTCTCGAACCCGAAGGTGGCTCAAGGCCACTTACAACCAGCTTACAATATGCAAACAAATTACTAGGGAGGCTTGAAAAAGGTTGTAATAGCTCACATCCTATGTAATTTCCAACATAGGATGTGTTGCCAAAATCTAATTGTGTCTGCCCTATGGTTAGTCAGGTTTTGCTTATCTTTTCCCGATCATGCTTTGTGCAGGTACAAATAAATATACTAGTAAAAAAGTAATTGTGTCTTTAGTGTGCTGTACAGCTTTATCAGAGTGCATGGAGAACTTTGGAAGCTTTCAGGTACTGCATTGACAGTAATATAATGTCTGTGGTTAATCAGTGAAAGAGGAAAAAGCTAGAACAGTTTTAAAGAATTGCTGCTGTATTCTGCATAATTGATACATTTTAGTAATTACTTTCAGTGATCTGACACAAATGATTAATTTCTAATTCGTATCTATACATTAACGTTTGTCTTCTGCACGGAATATCAATTAACTGAAGCGAGACCTTGTTTATTTTTTTCTTTTGAATATTTGCAGTACAATAGAGGGAGTTAGGAAAAGTGCAAACCATTTATTTAGAGCCTGCATTTTATTGGAAATGTTTGGCAAATTTGAAAATAAATAAGAAACTTAACTGCTGAAGGAATTCCTTCTAAACATTGTGGTTTACTGGTACAATTTTATTTGTCAATCTATTATTTCTTCTACTGTCTTCTCATGCCTAATAATATGACATTGTAACTATTTTACAAATAATTTGAAAAAAGTACAAGTAAAAAAAGAAAGATCTTTGTGCAGCTGACATTGGTTGTGAACTGGTTTGGTAATGGAGTTCATGAAGTTAATCCAAGATTTGATGAATTGATGAATTTTGGCTGCTATTTTTGAGTAGCAGAATCCTGTTTACTTAAAATCACAGACATACCTGTGATCCAGACATACTGGTAGTTGCTTGTTAGCTAACTGTGATTGTCACTGCTGGGTCAGAATGTTAATCAGAAACAAATTACACTGATATTCTGAATATTCTATGTGTTCATTAGCACCTTTAATGTATGCATGTTCTATCTTCTTCTTCAAGATTTGAATTTGTTATTTTTTTCTAAAAAAGAAAGACTTCAGAAAGTTATGCATTACGAGGTCAATTTTCCTTTGCTCTCCAGATACCCTTAAGGTACCAGATCCTTTGTGATCCTGGAAGTGAAGGAGGATCAACTAGGGTTAGTACTTGGATGGGAGATCATCAGTGGATACTTGGTGCTGTAGGCCATATTTCAAGGAAGGAACTGGCAAAACCACCTTTGAGTCTATTTTGACTTAGAAAACCATATGTAATTCATCAAGTTACCACAACTTCACAGGGTAACTTGAAGGTGCGTGTGCACACACACACACAATTTCTTTGGAATTTAAAATTAAACTTTAGGTAATTGCCATTGATAAAGCATGTCTTTCTTCTTTTTCAGAAACATGGACAACCCAATATTGGACACCTAAGTTTATTACAAACATGACGATCCTTGAAGAACTAAAATCAATTTTACAAGTTTGGAGATAAAATTTTAGTGTGTAGAAGCACTTTTAAGAATGAACACTACACCCAGTTGTGTTGGTACATACAGAAGGATGAGAAGAACACTATGATGGCAAAGAATAAAGAGCCTCGTCCCCCATCCTATGCTATTAGTGTGGTTGGACTTTCTGGAACTGAAAAAGACAAGGGGAACTGTGGAGTTGGGAAGTCGTGTTTGTGCAATAGGTTTGTGCGTTCAAAAGCAGATGAATATTACCCTGAACATACCTCTGTGCTTAGCACAATTGACTTTGGTGGACGAGTTGTTAATAATGATCACTTTTTGTACTGGGGTGACGTAATACAATGTGGAGAGGATGGAGTAGATTGCAAAATTCATGTTATTGAACAGACTGAGTTCATTGATGATCAGACTTTCCTGCCTCATCGGAGTACGAACTTACAACCTTACATAAAACGTGCAGCTGCAACCAAATTGCAGTCAGCAGAAAAACTTATGTATATTTGCACAGATCAGCTTGGGTTAGAGCAAGACTTTGAGCAAAAGCAAATGCCCGAAGGAAAGCTAAGTATTGATGGATTCTTATTATGCATTGATGTAAGTCAAGGATGCAATAGGAAGTTTGATGACCAACTTAAATTTGTAAATAATCTCTATATTCAGCTATCAAAATCTAAAAAGCCTATAATAATAGCAGCAACTAAATGTGATGAATGTGTGGAACATTATTTACGAGAAGTTCAAGCATTTGCTTCAAATAAAAAGAACCTTCTGGTAGTTGAAACATCAGCAAGATTCAATGTCAATGTAGAAACATGTTTTACTGCACTGGTACAAATGATGGATAAAACCCGTGGTAAACCTAAAATAATTCCCTATCTGGATGCCTATAAAACACAGAGACAGCTTGTTGTGACTTCAACAGATAAATTTGAGAAACTTGTACAGACTGTGAGAGACTATCATGCCACTTGGAAAACAGTTAGCAACAAACTGAAAAATCATCCAGATTATGAAGAATACATTAATTTGGAGGGAACCAAAAAGGCCAAAAATACATTTTCAAAACACATAGAGCAACTTAAACAAGAACATATAAGAAAAAGAAGAGATGAATATATTAATACATTACCAAGAGCTTTTAACACACTTCTGTCAAACCTTGATGAGATTGAGCATTTGAGTTGGTCTGAAGCTTTGAAACTTATGGAGAAAAGGCAAGATTTTCAACTATGTTTTGTCGTGCTGGAAAAAACCCCATGGGATGAAACTGACCATATCGATAAAGTGAATGACAGAAGAATCCCATTTGACCTTTTGAACACAGTAGAAGCAGAAAAAGTGTATCAAAATCACGTACAGCATCTAATATCAGAAAAAAGGAGAGTTGAAATGAAGGAGAAGTTCAAAAAAACACTTGAAAAAATACAATTCATTTCTCCTGGTCAGCCATGGGAAGAAGTTATGTGTTTTGTAATGGAGGATGAAGCTTTTAAATATATTACAGAAGCAGATAGTAGAGAAGTCTATAGTAGGCATCAACGAGAAATAGTTGAAAAAGCCAAAGAGGAGTTTCAGGAAATGCTTTTTGAACATTCAGAACTGTTTTATGACCTGGATTTGAATGCAACACCAAGTACTGATAAAATGAGTGAAATTCATGCAGTTTTGAGTGAAGAGCCTAGATACAAAGCTTTACAGAAACTTGCACCTGATAGAGAGTCTCTTCTTCTTAAACACATTGGGTTTGTATATCATCCTACTAAAGAAACATGTCTCAGTGGCCAAAACTGTATGGACATTAAAGTAGAACAGTTACTTGCTGGCAGTCTTTTGCAATTGGACCATGGTCGTGTACATTTTTATCATGATAGTGCCAACATTGATAAAGTAAATATTTTCATTTTGGGTAAAGATGGACTTGCACAAGAGCTGGCAAATGAGATTCGGACACAATCCACAGATGATGAATATGCCTTAGATGGAAAAATATATGAACTTGATCTTAGACCGGTTGATGCAAAGTCACCTTATCTTTTAAGTCAGTTATGGGCTTCTGCCTTCAAACCACATGGGTGTTTCTGTGTGTTTAATTCAATTGAATCACTTAATTTTATTGGAGAATCAATTGGAAAAATCAGGGCTGAAGCATCTCAGATAAAAAGAGACAAGTATATGGCCAATCTTCCATTTACATTAATCCTGGCTAATCAGAGAGAAAGTGTTAGCAAGAATTTGCCAATCCTGAGACATCAAGGACAACAGTTGGCAAATAAGTTGCAATGTCCTTTTATAGATGTCCCTGCTGGTACTTACCCACGTAAATTTAATGAGACTCAAGTAAAACAAGCTTTGCGGGGAGTTCTGGAAGCCGTTAAACATAACTTTGATGTTGTAAGTCCTGTTCCTACAATTAAAGACCTCTCAGAAGCTGATTTAAGGATTGTTATGTGTGGCATGTGTGGAGATCCCTTCAGTGTAGATCTTATTCTTTCACCCTTCCTTGATTCCCATTCTTGTAGTGCAGCCCAAGCTGGCCAGAATAATTCGCTAATGCTTGATAAAATTATAGGTGAGAAACGGAGACGAATTCAAATAACAATATTATCATATCATTCTTCAATTGGTGTAAGAAAGGATGAACTTGTTCATGGATACATATTAGTTTACTCTGCCAAAAGAAAAGCATCTATGGGAATGCTTCGAGCATTTCTGTCAGAAGTGCAAGATACAATTCCTGTGCAGTTGGTGGCTGTTACTGACAGTCAAGCAGACTTTTTTGAGAATGAAGCTATCAAGGAATTAATGACTGAAGGTGAACATATAGCAACAGAGATCACTGCTAAATTCACAGCCCTATATTCTTTATCTCAGTATCACCGCCAAACTGAGGTTTTTACATTGTTCTTCAGTGATGTTTTAGACAAGAAAAATATGATTGAAAATTCCTATATGTCTGATAACGCAAGAGAAGCAACACACACAAATGAAGATGTGTTTCTGCATTCCCCCAGAGGGAGCTCTCTTGCTTACAATTATTATCCAGATTCAGAAGATGATACAGAAGCCCCACCTCCTTACAGCCCAATTGGAGATGATGTACAGCTACTCCCGACACCCGATCGCTCAAAATACCGATTAGATTTGGAAGGTAATGAATATCCTACTCATAGTACACCTTTGAACTGTCATGATCATGAACGCAACCATAAAGTGCCTCCTCCCATAAAACCGAAGCCAATAGTGCCCAAGACAAATGTGAAAAAACTAGATCCAAACCTAGTAAAAACTATTGAGGCAGGCATTGGTAAAAACCCAAGGAAACAATCTAGAATGGCTTTGGCACCAACTGATGATCTTGATCCGTCTGATAATTATGCAGAACCAATAGACACTGTTTTTAAGCACAGAGGTCTTACTGATGATATCTACGTAATTCCAGATGATAGTCAGAATCGTGTGGTTAAAATTCGAAATTCATTTATTATAAGTAATGCCCAAGGAGATGAAGAAAATGGCTTTCCTGATAGAATGTCAAAGACCCAAGGTGAAAGACGACCTTCAAAATACAAATACAGATCTAAAACGCTATTCAGTAAAGCCAAATCGTATTATAGGAGAGCACATTCAGATGCAAGTGATGATGAAGCTTTTACTACATCTAAAACAAAAAGAAAAGGAAGACATCGTGGTAGCGAAGAAGATCCACTTCTCTCTCCTGCAGAAACATGGAAAGCTGGTATTGATAATCCTGCTATTACATCAGATCAAGAATTAGATGATAAAAAGACGAAGAAGAAGACCCAGAAGGTGAAAGAAGATAAAAAAGTAAGTTTAAAAAAATTAAGTGTTTACTTTCTAAGCCACAATGTCTTTATGTTGTTTCAGAATGTTTTTATAGTAGTACCCCATTTTCCTTCTTATTAAAACTGATGTATATATTTCTATCAGGGTATTTGGGATAGTAACATATTAGTAATTAGTAATGTATGATTACATTTTTCCTTCAGTAAGTAATTGTTACTGTTGGAGAGAATAATTTGAACTCCTTTGGCGTCACATCAAAAACTATAGTTTGGATCACTTTCTGTCTCTGGACTAAATCAAGAGAGGAACATCCATGTGTGAAACTAGTCTATTTGCTGTTTCAAGAGAACACTCTTTGTCTCTCTAGCAGTTCCATGTACATCCCAAAATTTGCTCAACTTTTGAGGACAACGGGGAGGCAAGAGAAGGGATGACGGTTCTGGCTAATACAACATTGGAATTAGGCATTTGGATTATAATGAATTCAGTGTAGCATTATGGTTATTGGTACAGTAAGTCCTCTATAGGCGTAGGACCCTCTGGGAAGGTGGAAAAACCATGATTTTATTTTTTTAAAAAAACACTTTTTTTCTGATAGAATACAGGCAGCCCCCAATTATGAGCAAGATAGGTTCTGTACGCTTGTTCTTAAATTGAATTTGTATGTAAGTCGGAACAGGTACATTTTAAAAGTGTAACTCCAGCCAAATACAAAAATTGGATAGCATAGAGAAGGGTTAACATCCCTGTGGTGTTTGTTTTGCTGTGTCCCTGTACAGAAGATTTCGTCTTACTTTCTGTCCCTGTGATAATTGGATTTTGAAAAAAAATGGCTTGTGGAAACAAGAATTAGGGATAAAGCTTCAATGGATAAACATTTCCTTATGATAAACCCTTACAGAAGTAAATTTTCCTTCCTGGGCATAGATTTCTCTCACTTCTTGTTGTCTCATCATCATTTTTAACTATGAGTCATCTGTAAGTTGGATGTTTGTAACTCTGGGATTGCCTGTAATTCTCTAGATTCTTCTGAATGAATATATGATGACTGTCAAATCATTTGCAAGGTGAATGCCAAATCATGTGCTAAGATCTATAAATCTAGATGTTGTCCATAGTGTCATGCTGAAGGAATTAGATATTGCTGGAGAAAATATATTACAAATTCAAAAAAATGAAATCGGCAAAGGTTAAACCCTCAAAGGTGGAAGGGTGGCTACTGTATTCTTGGCCATCATGTAGAAGATAAACTTACATAATTTTCAAATGTCAGAGAAGTTACTAGGCCAGGATTTGAAGTGACACTTTTCTAAACTGAATATAACAACTGACGTTTTTACATTGTACTTAATGTGTTTTGTGTGTTATCAGTAGTGTTTGGAAATGCCTCAATAATTTTGATTTATGAATTAAGAGTCATTATTATTTTTCTAATAACACATTTTTATGTGCACTGCCTGGCCATATCATTTAACTCAGTATATATGTTAGGGGCAAGTCATGAAGCATGTTCAGGAATGCAGTGTTGATATATAAAATTTCCTGGTAGTCAGATAGTCCTGTTGGATATAGTATGATTAACTTGTAGCTTCCTATGTGACAAATGTTTTTTGGCTATATATTGTGCAGAGAAATGTATGAGGTTTGCTAAAGTGACAAATACCATTATTTAATTGGGATGCATCTACACTGAATTAATTCAGTTTGATACCACTGTAACTGCCATAGCTCAATGCAGTGGAACCATGTGAGTTGTAATGTGGTGGACCAGTCCTCTTTGGCAGTGAAGACTAAAGAACTTGTAAAAGCTACAATACTCATGATTCAGTAGCATTTAGCCATGACAGTTAAATTGGCATCAGATTGCATGAGTTCTATGGTGTAGATACAGTCCATGTCTATGATTATTTGACAAAAACAGATGTAGAATTTAGTTCACAAATACTTTAGTTCAGTAGCATTAGAAAGAGCTATGTTTGCTTACTGGTCCTTTTAATATGTTTAACAGATTCGATCTTCTGGTTGGTTTTGGAAAGGCAGTTGTCTTCAAGGAATGAAGAGAATTACTTATTTATAACTTTTTATTTAGTTTGACAAAATGGCAAAGCAGTTACTTGATTGTCTATACGTATGTTTCCCATACATAGAGAAGAATCGTTTGGGATTTAAAAGTTATTTAAGACTTTATTTGCTTCTTCTTGGAGTTTTTTTCAATGTGCAAGAAGTTAGATATTCTGACCACAACTGACAGGGTAGAATGCGCTTGGGTTCTCATATACCTCCAGGTATTGGCCTGTAAACTTCCTCATCCTTGATTGTGCTGGCTGCTTCTTTTGAGAATTTAACACCTATTGCAGAAAAAATAGTTCCCCAGCTCTGGAGCAGATTATAGAATTTGATTAGCCTTAGCAGAGGTTGAAACTTTTCAGGCATGAGACGGTTTGAAGAAATTACCTATTAAGCCCAGAGAATAGCGTAAAGTGACAGATCTTGTTCATTGCCAGCAGAATATAAAGCTCTACAGTCCTTGTTTACTGGTCACCAGGCCTGTAGCCGGGGGGGGGGGTTGGAGTTCAACCCCCCGCCCCCATTTTTCAGGTTAAAAAAAGACGTGGTTTACGCATGAATTTTAACTGGTTAACCAAATCCCCATGCTAAGTCTATGAGATGCAAAAATTAAGAGTCCCTCCAGAAGTGCAAGCACTTTCTCAAGCAAATACTGACAATTTATTCACACTGTCATTACTTGCAGCAATAGCCGATGTAGCGAAGCAACCAAGTTGGGGGGGGGGGGGTGTTGAATGCTCTCATTAAGGAGGCCAGACTTGGTGGAGGTGGTTGACGGGCGGAGCTGCAGGCTATTGAAGGCTGCTCTGCCCCCTGCTGTGCTCTTTGCTTCAGCGTGAGCTAGGAGGCAGGTTTCAACCCCCCCCCCCCCCCAAATTTTCAACCCTCCCCGAAATTTTTTTCTGGCTATGGCCCTACATGTAATCTCAGCTTGCGGCTCCAGGGTTCATTCCCATGACTAGTCAGTAACTGGAGGAGGAGAGTTCCACACATCATCAGGCTGTAATTTCGGTATCACTTTCCTGGACTTCCATTAGGTTTATTCATGAAGGGTTAAGAGTCTGTATATGCCTTTAAATGTATGAGTGAATGAGTCTTTTGGAAAATGGCATTCATAACCTTTTGGAAAACACCATTTGGAGATTATAACTTTTTAGAAAACATGACCTTTCAGAGAAGAGCCAAAACCTTTTTAGAGTAGAATCTTCTCTTATGGGAGATATAAGAGATGGCCGAAAGCGAGGAGGAGCTGAGGAGCCTTCTAATCAAGGTGAAAGAAGAAAGTCCAAAAGCTGGGTTGCAGCTAAACATCAAAAAACCAAGATTATGGCAACAAGAATGATTGACAACTGGGAAAATAGAGGGAGAAAATGTGGAGGCCGTGACAGACTTTGTATTTCTAGGTGCAAAGATTACTGCAGATGCAGACTGTGGCCAGGAAATCAGAAGGCAATTACTTCTTGGGAGGAGAGCAATGTCCAGTCTCGATAAAATAGTAAAGAGTAGAGACATCAGACTGGCAACAAAGATCCGCCTAGTCAAAGCCATGGTATTCCCTGTAGTCACTTACGGATGTGAGAGCTGGACCTTAGGGAAGGCTGAGCGAAGGAAGATCGATGCTTTTGAGCTGTGGTGTTGGAGGAAAGTTCTGAGAGTGCCTTGGACTGCGAGAAGATCCAACCAGTCCATCCTCCAGGAAATAAAGCCCGACTGCTCACTGGAGGGAAAGATACTAGAGACAAAGTTGAAGTACTTTGGCCACATCATGAGGAGACAGGAAAGCCTAGAAAAGACAATTATGCTGGGGAAAGTGGAAGGCAAAAGGAAGAGGGGCCAACCAAGGGCAAGATGGATGGATGGCATCCACGTTTTGAAGTGACTGGACTGACCTTGAAGGAGCTGGGGGTGGTGACGGCTGACAGGGAGCTCTGTCGTGGGCTGGTCCATGAGGTCACGAAGAGTCGGAGACGACTGAACGAATGAACAACAACAAGAGAAAATATAATTATGCTAGGCAATGATTTTAACTGTTAGACTGTATAACCTGTTATCTTTGATCTGTTGGGAAAACAGAGAAAACAGCAGAGCTTTAGAAGTGTCTTTCAGTGCCCAAAAATTTAGAGGGGAGTCTCACTTATCCAACATAAACAGGCCAGCAGAACATTGGATAAGCAAAAATGTTGGATAATAAGGAGGAATTAAGGGAAAGACTATAAACGTCAAATGACGTTATGATTTTACAAATTAAGCACCAAAACATCATGTTTTACAACAAATTGACCAAAAAAGCAGTTCAACACATGGTAACATTATGTAGTAATTACTGTATTTACAAATTTAGCACCAAAACATTGCAATGTATCCAAACAGCTGTGGATCTGGGCGGAAGGTAGACTGTTGGATTATACAGAACGTTGGATGAGCTAAGGTTGGATAAACGTGACTCTACTGCAGGCATCCTCAAACTGCGGCCCTCCAGCTGTTTGGGCAACTCCCAGAATTCCTGACAATTGAACAAGCTCGTTAGGGCTTCTGGGAGTTGGAGGCCCAAACAGCTGGAGGACCATAGTTTGAGGATGCCTGCTCTACTGTATATAAACCAACTTATTTTATATCATTCACTCAAAAGACAAAAATAAAATAGACTTGGATAAAAATAACATATCTGGTTTACTCACAATCTTCATGTATTCAGCATACACAGATACAAAACTTATTAGTCCAGTTTCAGATGTATTTGAGATAATTTTTGTGCCATCCGGCCAGAGGCATCTTATAACAAAACAGCTACCAACAGGTCACATAGTCAGAAGGGGAGAGAGAGCATGGGGTCTGCAGTGAGATATGGCAGTGTCAAACTACATTCATTCAGCAGTGTAGATGCACCCTTAAAATCAAAGTCAGGGTATTGTAATTTTAAATTCAAAGCTTTTAAACTGACGTTGGAGTTGCTT